TTCTACTATCTGCGCGTATGGGGTTAATCGGTATATATCAATCTCCGTGACGTCATGCTCTCTATTTCGTTTCTTACTGTCACAGCAAGTTAAACTAACAACACTTTCTGGGAGCTGTTAAGGTCTGCTACACCACTCGCATCCCTAGAAGCGGCGTTACCGTCGTGTCTGCTCTATCGGACAGTCCGTAGTCGTCGTCGTCGTCGAGTAGGCGAAGACGAGTGGCGGCAAGAGAGCGAGCACCATTAGCTAGGCCACGTCTACTGCTGAAGAACAAGTCAGTTCTAAGTGGGATAAATACCCACCCCAGAACCCCCTAACTGACTCCTTTGCTCTCCCACTGCTATCGATGTGAAGACAATCGCTTCAAGCACCTGATACTCTACAATGAGTCCACGCTGATAGCAAGCTCTGTCTGCGAGGAGTTTGTTCGTATTCCCGATTCTCGCGCGCCGCAGATCAGTTCAGGCTAGCTTTGTTGTTCGTGGCAGTGGGGACCGGCTACTTCACGAGTGCTCCGCAAAGGACACTCCGCCTTTATGAGAGAATGCGGATAAAGAACGACTCGATGACTGTGTGGCGGTAGTACTGAAAGAGCACAAAGCAGCAGAGTCCGGTATATCTACGCTAGCCTTGGAAGGGATCGCTTTCAACCTTAGCTAAGGGGGTAAGTTCACCAGAGTTCTACTGTTTCTACTGTTGGGCATGAAGTCTGCTTAGCACAGAACATAGCAGGAGAATAAGAGTAGCTGTTGGCGGAGCGAAGTCCATTCGAGTCTGGCAGGAGGAGCAATGCCAAAGTGGAGAACGCAAGACCAGCGGCAAACGTTAGAGACAAGCAAGGGGTCTCTGAGGATATTTTTCCTAATTTTACACAACGCATGTGACACACGAACTACTCGACTTGCTCACTTTCTTTCTCTTCCGTTTTTCGCCCTTTCTCTACGCGTTGCGGACTCGCTTATAGGGAATGACTTGAGGCAAAGGAAAAGCCCAGAAGTAGAATCGAAAGGGCCGACAGGCAATATCAAACGCCGTTGAGTACACTCTCCTGCCAGGCAGCGTTACCACAACGAGTTAACTAACTTCTCATACGCTCCTTGATTCTGTGGCACCTAGTTCCCCTGCGCACGATAGGAGGCGGCTTCGGTCGGTCCGGAGTGGCTGTCTGCTCTGGTCTGACTTTTACGCCAGTAAGAAAGCGCCCCAGAAGGATCTATACAAAGGACGACTTCGGGAAAAGGACATAAGTTGAAACAGAGTCACGCTGAATCCTGAAATTGCGGTTGAGAAGCAAGCTCACAAAAATTGGACAGTTAAAGGAAAGCTCTTCTAGACGCAGAGGTTTACCGGCGCAGCAGCCGTTCGCCACTTCGAGTAGCGCCTTTCTTCACTTGGGCTAGCTAGCTTCGGTATGGCGAAGACCAAAGGGTGACAACTGTCATTCGTTTTAGCGATTTGTCTTCGTGAAGCAAATCACAACATGTCGAGTGCCGGCTTAGCAGACACAACGGCAACGGAAGAAGAATTCGGTAAAGCTTTCGCTTGAACGGTGACCCAACACAACAGCAATTGACAAATGTTGGTGCTCATTAAAAGAAATCACATTGAGTATAACGATATATCCCAAGCCGATGGTTGTATTTCAATTAAAACTAATGAAGCAAAATTTTAATACAGTGCACTTTAGATGCGCGATCGTCCATCTATTAATTTTTTTTTAATATTAAGCTTTTTGTCATTGTATTTCCGTTGTCTATACGTAGAGCATAATTGCACGATGCAAAGCCAACGATTTTTGATCGCTAACCTCAAAAGCGATGCATAATCGGGGAAAAGTTCAAAACCAAGTCCCGATTTCCATTTAATCGCCATCAAATCAGTTCCACCGTACATATTATACACTGATACTTAAGCGGACACTGGACAGATTTGGTCTAGCTTTCCAATTATTAACTGCAATACTGCAGCCATTATTCGGAAGGAGTCTCTCGGGGTTCACGAGCTCCTTAGACACGTTTTCTCGGTTGTCATTCCTGCCCGACCGCTGGATCTGTCGGCCTTGTTCCCTGCCTACGCTTCTGTTCTCCAACTACGCCGCTACCCCTGCGTGTAATATTCACCCTCTCGTTATTACTTATATGTTTGTAGTCCTCTTTCCTTCTCTGATGCGCGCGATATATTGACGCTTACAGAGTTATAGGAAAAGCAAACTCAAGAAAGAGTACCCAGGAGGACACTGAAGAAGCTACTGTTGGCCTATTTGAAATTCTCTTGGTTCGTCCGAGTCCATTGGCGCTCTCCTGTCGCCTCTATGGGGCGAATTCGTATTCAAATTCCACTACACCACATACCTACTACATCCCTGTAGCAGCGTTCCCTCAGCAGCAACAGCGTCCTCCATGTGCCGACGACTACCCTTCGAAATCGCCCAACCCTGTTCAACCGACCCCCATGGTCCGGTGTTCGGTCCCGTTGTGCCCAGAAGTAACGTCTGTCTTCATCTACCTCGCTTCTCTCTCGCTCGATTTCAAGTGTAGCGCTAATTAGTTAAGCCTATTCAACCTCACGATCTAAAGTAAATAATTAACTGCCGGGGGCTATCAACAAGAGGGGATGGTACTATCTGTCGGTCCTACCAGTTATCACCGGTGCTCGCAGTCAGTAAGTTTCGTCTGCTCGGAAACGCGAGCTACATTATAAGCGATAAGCGCAAAGTCGAAAAATGGCTTAGATGAGCTGTCTCAGAGAAAGTTGTTTTAGCTTGACGGACGTACACACATATGTATGTGGGTGTGCATGCGATCTTTGAGCGTCAGTAGGTAACACGCTTAGACACATAATTTCTGTTTGACGCCAGGTCATGCTGACGATTTTGATCAAGGCATGCACATTTCACATGACATAAACACTGCCAAACATGACACATAATTATTTTATTTGGGTATGGTAAACAATGTTTCATAAGACGTATCATACTTGCTTGCACTCAACCACACGTCAAGATAAATCGTTTGCGAATAGGTGATGGATGCATGGCATGACGTTACGGCTTTAGACAGAATCCGCAAAGGACCGCTCCATTATTTATTGGACGTCATATAACATGCCGGACACTACATGTCCTATAACAAACGTAGTATTATCGTATAGTGAAGTAAATATCGTACATTTCATCATTGTATTTACTATTAATTATCTCAAAATTGACTTTAAATAAACCCAACACATTGGTCCAGCTGCTGTTACTAGCCGCAAGCGCGGTCAAAACGCGGTACTCCTCATTCCCCACTCTACACCTACCATTATTGGCGAGAGATTTCTCATTATGAACTATAAAGACTTCAATGGCTAGCCGGCAGGTCAATTCAACTACTATCGGCAAATCGCGCCAGACCTTGTGAGCACTCGATGAATAATAATACATTTTAATGCGCCACAATAAGAAAACGACGAAGTCGATGAAACGGTCTTTCTCCACGAAGCTGATGTCCTGTGGTGGCTGTATGTAGTCGAGCGGTTTCTTTGTGCCCCTGGCAGGCTTTCTATGACAGTCTATCCCTGCCATGCACCACGCTGTTATGAGGCCATCGCGACCCGGGCTCCGTGCCGCCTCCGAAGTCAGTCCGCTCTGCTTTATTTCCCCTTCCCCTTATTCTTCCTTTCTCCCCTTTTTGCTTCTTCTTGGCGCTTATCGTTTACTGTTTATCTATCGAGCGCTCTCGTGCGCGTGAACGGACGAAAGCCGAAAGGACCAGCTGCTTCATAGTGGCAATCCTGTCTCTTCTTTTTTCCCATTTCTTACTGACGAGTCACTTGCGGGAGTAGGAACTGTGGCTAAACGTGGCCTGACCGTGGCAGACGCTAGGCCTTTCTCTTCTTTTTCTTCGTCGTCTTGTAGGAAGCCGCAACGATGAACGATAGAACGAACGATATCCTCTCATCTAAATATTATACATCGCCTTTGCCGCCCCCTCGCCATTTCCCGCGCCCCTGTCAGCTTCTATGACTCCATCTCCCTGTATCTTGTTGAAGGAAGAAGCCATGGAGCGTTCTTCTATGAGGGCGCTGCTCAAGTCCATAGCTCATCTGCGGCTATCTTACTCCTCGTCTATCTGTTCCCAGTGGCGGTGACGGCCACTGTTGGGCGTTGTACTCCTTGCGCGGGATGGTTGTGAGGCCGCGTGTCTGTGAGCCTGCCCAGACGATTTTTGCTTTCTTCGTGCCTCTCATCATCGTTGGTTCCGCCCTCTGTGAGTTTTGCAGGGTTCCGCTCAATGACATCAATCTGAAACTGCCGAAGATGACTTTTGAGCAGGAGCTCCATTATCGTTAAACCAAACAGGCTGTCTCTGCTACCCTGTAGTCATATACGTTCAGGTATTTACATGTATACATATATGCAGTCCACTCATTTCGAGCTCTCAGTGATTCTTACTGAAGTTGACTGGATGTAAAGCAGCCAATGTTTTCAGCAAAGCTTCGCTCTGCATTAGTCTGTGGGGATGTGGTTCTTTCTAATATTTTGTTTATTTTACTTTGTAAAAGAAAATAAATATTTCCCTGGATGATAATTGAGCTACCTTAAAAATTGGGCTATTTGCTTTCCAGTAAACATTGCATAGCTTAATATAATTAGTTTGAACATTTCCGATTCAGGGTTGGCATCCCATAGTGCACTACGATGTACTGTCACAATGGGAAATTGAAGATTTATATATACAAACTCCAGATTAGCAACAGGGCCAATAGCAAACCTAGAAATACCATGCGGAAAGGCGAACCCTCCCACCAATTCAGCCGTGTAAATCTATCAGATTACTTGTAGATATTTGAGATGAACAGTTATCACTTTTCGTCCTGAAGTACTGAAAACTAGGTGCAAAGGACAGCTCCGTAAAAAGACAGCGAATAGGATCCTTTGTGAGCATATCATAACAATCGCTGGCATTCTTTATTGTCGTCATTCGAAGTTCACTGCTAATCTGTCTTGATTCCAGTTAGCGCTACGGTTCCCGCGGCGATGACTCGTAAGACTAAATCCGGCAGTCGTCGGGCTCCGGGTTTCGAAGCGCCGCGAAATATCCCTTCGTTAGCGTCCAACGGAAATGCCACATCACTGCCCATTGCGCCAGAAACAAGCAACAACAATAGTGACATGTCTAACAAAAGCACGCAACAGCAACAAGTTCGAGGAGCTGCACTAGAATGCGCAGGTTGTCAACAATCTATTCGGGAAAGGTAGGTTGCAAAAGACTGAGCCATCTTTATTAAATCATAACCACGAGAACAGCCCTCAGACCAGATGAGTTACCTTGTCTTACGCGAACTGGGATAGCAGCTACACGTCGAGGTTTTTGAGCAAAAATCTTCCCTAGCCTATCGATATCATATATATCTCAAACTGGCGAGTTTATCCACTTCCAGATATCTTCTCTGCGCTTTGGACCGATCATGGCATGAAGGATGTCTGAAATGCTCGCACTGCAACTGCTTACTCGGTGAAGTAGGATCTACTCTATTTTTTAAGGAAAACAGGATTCTCTGTAGGAGAGATTACCTCAGGTGATTTAATCAACCATTAACGCTATTGTATATAAACGGTAGAACAGGGATGGCCGAAAGGGTTTCCTCATGTATGTATAGATCACTTGGACTTAGAAATTTTGTTTATTACGCTGCATTTATACGTCGCTGGTTATGGCATGTCTTCTGAAGCACAACCTGAAAGAAGAAACATTTATTTCGTCACATCTATTTCAGGGTTCCGCTCATCTAGACTATAGTTCATTTAGAACTACAAGCGCTCTATCGAGAGCTTGTTTGCATCCACTTTAGATTCTAGCTGCTTTCTTCAAAAAAAAAAAATAAATAAATAACTAGACATTGTATCTCATCTACTTAGACAAATGCAGCTACACAAAGGTCGCACTTCACAATATCCACTCTCCTTAAACTTCAACAACCGTAGCTCAGTCGTAGGAGAGGGCTGGTCTTTTTCTTTTTTGTTTTTTCCACATTTCCACCCCACCTCGATTCAGCTAGCCCCAGTCAACGTTGTGAGGTCGAACATCGACTTCACTCTCGCTGTATCTATTTGGTATTCAGAATCTAGCTTTCAAGCAATATAGAATTCGAATCGGCTCCCTGGCACAGCGAAGTAACACTACACTCCGATTCACTACTATCAAATTGCTGGCTCCATTCGGTCAATCTCAGTTTGTCGGTTTTGCTTTTCAGGGTAATCTCCTAAACCAGCCCACAGGATCGATGATTTAGTCCGTTTTTTTTTGTAATGGCAGGATATCGTCCTGAGTGCCTTCGTTCTTTCCATTTCGGATTGACCTAACAAAGGGTTTTGAAATTGCTTTTTGATCGAACGTGATCAGAGTAAGTCTGCCACGTCACACGTGGCGGCAGCAGTAGTAGTGATACTAACAGTGGTATCTACCTTCTACAGCTTCTATCTCCTACAGCGGAGTCGTGAAGCAAACGGGATAAACAACAGTTGGTAGGCGTGCGCACATGTTAGAAAGGCACGTGGCCGAGTAGGCCCAAAGACTTGCCATCTAGCCCGTTCAGGCAGCTAGGCTCGTTGTTTAGATAATAAACGAAAATACTTCTGGTATTGTATCCTATCGTGTGATTTGTTTGTCTCCGAATAGATCAATCGTGCGCTGTCATGCAATGACGACGCTCGTGCTTGAATGGTCCGAATACATGCCGAGCAGCTATTTGCTGCAAGCGTCGTTTTCCTGTGTTGTTCCTGCGGCTAACGCACACTAATGCGTTATGTGTAATTGTGTCAACAGGCTGTATGGGTCATCCGGAAGATGTTCGGCCTGTCAAAAGGAAATTCCTGCTTTCGAAATGGTAATGAGGGCTGGCGCTAACGTCTACCATCTCGAGTGTTTCGCTTGTCAACAGTGCCGTCATAGGTGAGAGGGGAGCGGGGGCACTTAATACAAGACTCTGTCGTTGTTGAATTCTGACGAGTAACGAACGCTGAACCGATGAATTTTTTCTAATCGGAATGAAAATTACTACACTCTCGGGATGAGCTAGTTCCCAGCCTCGTTGCACGCTTTAAGCCCACGTTGAACGTCACGCAATTTCTATGGAAATCGCTAGCGTAGGATGCGTGTTTCAACTAAAACAATAGTCTGGTCGAATTAGAAATATAGTCACGCTTTCGAACCCAGTGACTTATTACTTAGATGATAATATTTATGTCATCTTTGTTCCAGGTTCTGCGTCGGTGATCGATTTTATGTGCAATATGGACAAATTCTTTGTGAGGAAGACAGGTATACCCCTGCCGAGTTATGAACACACCCGCAGGTGGTATATGCTATATCAAGCGATGAATCAATGCAATATCCATATTATCCCTCTTAAGCTTTCTCACGCAATCAGCAACCCGTAGTTGACTATAGCTTGTGTATATATTAGATACAACAGGAAGCATGTTTAATAAAGACTCTCACGTTTTTCACCAACATGATGACTTTTTATATCTTACCATCCGATATAGATTTTAAAGCTTTATTCGTCGTGTAAGGCAGTACAAACAAACATAGAGTATAACATGGGTAAATATCGGCATATCACTTAAACGAAACAACCATAAACCCATGAAGAGGAAGCTAGAAGCTTTTCTCGTAATGTTAATTACAAAACAATATGCCCTATGCAAATACTCTACTTGTTATTGGTGTAGGTAAGGGCTCGTTGAGGGGCTCATGGTGGCTAACGGGAGCAATCATAGAATGTGTGTATTTTTACCCTAATAAAACCTACTATCGGGTCACAACGAATGTAAGTAGAACGTTCCAGCGGTTAAAGTATCCCCCGCCCCCGGCCCCGGCCCCTGCCCTTCCACAGACTCATGTGCATTGTACATGCATAATATAGAAGTCCAGAAGGCAGAGACAAAAAGGCAAAGGCAAGAAGCGGGATTTCAATTTTAAATAATATGGCGGAATGTGCCTAGATTGTTAAAGCACAATTGAAGACAACGACCGCTGGTGCTTCCTGTTCCGACTGAGTATCGGACGAGTGGATATCGAAACAAGACGCGTTGGTACAAGGCATGTGTTTTTACCTAGACAGCTATTATTCGATGTTGTTCTTGTTTGGTGACATCAGCATCAAGATCGAGGGACTGCCCTGCCAAGACGAGCATTCTTTAAAGGAGTCTTGCATATGCGTCTCTGTAACAGCCATCGTCGTCGGTATGGTTGTCGTTAGATCCCTAGGCCTGCTATGCGCCGAAGTAGAGCAGATGCGCAATCATCTGATTTGAATAGAGAAGAAACGGACGTGAGTACAGTGGTCGCACGAGAAGCCATGACCATACAGGAAAAGTCGCAGCCAGCGGTGACGGCAAACATTCGAACACCTCTTCGTTGCAGAACTGCGGGGGGCGGTTGTAGTGGCGGTGGTGATACTACTCTCGCTGGACAAGATGAGATCGGCAATGTAAGCATTGCGGGCACTGCACGCAGCTGGGCACTGGGATCGTTGGCATGGGGTACATCAAGGATATTGGACATCGGATACTCATGTTCCAAGGAGATGAGACGGAAAAGAAGTAGAGGCACAAAAGTTGCCCATAAAAGTCTAGTGGTATTTTTGTTCCATGGCGTTGTCCCCTCTTCGCAATGTGATGTCCGCTTGACAATGTGGTAGCGGTCGTAGACAAAACAACAGCGCCAGCAGCGGAAGCGACGGCTGCCGACACAGCAGACCTGGTCATTCGCTTTCTTATGGAAAGAATCGATCGGATAGAGCGAAGACGTACCATTCTCGTCATGCATCTTCGGGCCTTGAAGTATCCCACTGTCCGATATTTGAGTTCGATTAGGTTCAATTTTAGGACAGGTAGATATGGCTGGGCGCCCAAATCGAAACCATGGTTAGTTGAGAAGATATTTCTGATTCTTTATGCAACATGTACAGTATATCGTAGATAAAATACGCATGTAAAGCGTATACACCGTCTATGCTATCTGAGTGAGTCCTGAACATTTGACCTAGCCGTGAGATTTATGCAGATGTATTTCCTGTAGCTAGTATGTTGAAAAGCTGCCGCTTTTTGTATTTGTCTTCTATTTTGTTAGCGATAATTTCGGGTGCCTTTCCTAGAGATTTATCGGTGAAGACCAAGGGGGCTCAAGTGATTCCGCAGTAGAACTCCGCCCACTTATCGTTCCCCTTACACAACAGCCCTTTTAAGGGACCATCCCCAACCCTTGTTCAGTCTGGACAGTCGTTATCAGCCATCTTTTTCCCTTACCCCTTCATCTCGATGTGAGTAAATATTTCATTTCCATCAGCTGACTCCTCCTTAACACGTGTCTCAGCCGAAACGAGCTGCTCAGCCATGACATGCACCCACACACATGCACGCACGCATAGACAGACTGATACGAAGTTCTTCTCTTCGTACCGCTGCAGATATTACCTATACCGTACATAAATAGGAACTGGAGTACGCGTGTGAAATTGTCGTTCGTAACCTAGTTTCGCCTCTTGTCTTAACGGCTTTTGTAACGGCCTTCTAGGCCAAACGTTCCACATTTTGAAATTAATTTTCGTATCAAGCTCTCACGCATATCCTGTCGAAGTCTTTGGCCATGATTATGACGATGGCCAAATCAATGCAATGGATGGTAGCAACTACTTTTTTTTTTACGAACGGTGCAGCGTTGACTTACGCTTGCACACACGTGTAATAACAGTCAGAATAGAACAGCATCTTCGCAAGCCTGAGCACGTAAATAATCACACATAAAATCTTAATATACCAAAGCTATGGCCACATGATTTCGATAGCCACTCCCTTAAACATGCTATCTTGTGGGCTGTTGTCATCCGCATATTTTCACATCAAAAATATGCTAACTCTAATTAGCATTGAATTCTTTACCCGATCAGAGAGAACTCGATTCGAAACATCGCATTCGAAATTTCAGGGGTCGATGAAGTTTATGTTAGGGCATTTTCTCTATAACCTTAGGCCTGAGTGACTGGAGAATTTCATTGTCCTTGCAAAACGCTTTGCACTAAGAAATAGAACAACAAGCGGTGTTATCTTATTTTGATGGGCTGGTCAGGGACATCACATCCGAAAGGAATACATCAATGGCAGTGCTGTGTTTTCTATCAGAGTTCGTTTGTACGAGCCGAACATCAGATCAATCACAAAATATCGGATCATCTGGTTGACTCCACCTTCCTTCATCTTTATACATTCGCTCTAACCACGATTCATCCATATTAGCTCGTTGCTTCTGTCCGCCAGCTAGGGGGTATCGGTGATCGATCCCCATACAATCTCAGCCTTTGAGTACCTCAGGCCACTATCAAGGATCGTCGTCAGCATCGGCGCAAACCGCCGAGTAGTTTTATAATTACCGACAATCAAGTCGTCTGAAAAAAATGTTCTGATACTGCCTTTAAGCATTATTTCGGAGGAATAACCCATACCTGGTACAATACAGAGTGAGTCTTAATCAGGCTTCGAGGCCAGATAATTTGACGCGTCTTTACGCTTAATGGGCAAGCACGCTGACACTGCACCATCACGAACTTACTATTACCTTTTATATACGTCGTCTTGGCATGTTCTGCTATTTTTTTTCTCTCGAACTCTTGCTATTCTATTATCTCTCTGGGGTAGTTCTGCTTCTTTTAGATACGAATAGATACTTTGTTGAGTCTTCGACTGTTAATGCTCTGCTTCAGGCGTTCGCGCACTCAACATATTGATTGTCTTTTAGCAGACAGTGGATATGTGGACTATTAGGTTGGAGGGAATCAGAGCAGGGGATATTCTGCCTGGCAAAACTATGACCTCTAACAAGAGTTTGCACGCAACCGGAGGATCATTCGCCCAGCTCGAACAAGAAGGTAACTCCTAGAACGGGCGTGGGCCGTCAAGAAAGAGCAACTGCCTAAATGTTTCGGACACCGCCAGCGAAATCGCAAATTGGTATTCTGCTATAGCCTGTAGAGAGAAAATCAGCCAGCCCCTTGTCCTATATTCTATAGCAAAAACGGCGATTGTCAGGCAAAAGAAAAATGGCCTGTTGATCCTTTGTCAGTTGAGTGCTTTGCAGTTCTATAGGTCATCTTTGAAAGGAAACACCTTCTGCATTACTTACAAATTTACGTACGCTCGTGCAGATAGCACGAAGATAATACGGATTCAAGTTTATCCTTATGAAATAGTATAAATTATTAAACAGCAAACTCTTTCCGATAACGATTTTAGTTGATAATAAATGTCTTATTTGTATCGTTCTAAAAATGTTATCTACGCGTGTTCGCTTATACCAGTAGCGTAATTAAAGCTACTGTTTGTTTTTCACGTCATATTTGTTTAATCCGTATGTTGATAGTTGTTTTTTTTTTCATTAAGACACACTTTAATGTCAGTGCGCTGTCGAATTAGTATGTGTGTGGCTTGTTATTGTCTCTGGTTACAAACATTGATTAGGGCAGACAGTAATTGACCGCTATTCGATCAGGGTTGCCGGTCGCTTTCCAGCTCGGCTCTTTCTTCCCACATATATAAGCTTTTAGCTGACCAATGGACACAGGACTTGCAGGTTTACAAGGTAGCTGCGTCTACAATGCCTTACACCCCGTAATGTTTTCACGAATAATTGGCAATTGAAGTAAACAAAAGTTCTTTTGTTCGAAATCTAGAGCACTGCTAAGTTAATCCACCTTGAAGGTGACTAGATAATAAAATGATCATAGCGAGGAAGACATCACTCCAAAGACGAATCGTGACCAGTCGTTTAAACAAATGACTATTAAGTTTATTTACTCATTTGTCACCGCGGCCGGCGCAGTGATCGTTTTAGCCTCTCTCTGAATAGAGATTGTTGATTTGTTCGACCGATAACGCGCTCTTTACCCTTACGTGCGTCATATGCAGTGTGACATGTCCGTTGCAACAATATGCCACAGTGATATTGGGAACATCTATATTTAGATGCTGGATATCACATAATTTAATCGTTTTGTATTGAAGCAGCTGCAAGGTGAAACTAATAGCAGTTCAACGCGCGGCACAACACGAACGATCGTTTTTCCACACAAAAGTTCAGTGATCTTTTCCAATATGGCTGACACTACACTCGAACGGTATTGTAGTGGATCTTACATATTAGTCAGAACAAATCGAAATTGATCTTGTCCATGAGTTCCAGAAATAATAGATTCAATATAATAGGCTTATTGTACAGTATCTATATTCTCAGCTCCATGGAAAGGTCGGCAGATTTCATCCTTAAAGTACATAGATATTTTCTGTTTTCTACCGCCTCTGTGGTTGCTGTTTATTCTAACCCCCCGTTGTCCTTTTCCTCTAGTTCTAGACTCTTTCTTGTTCGCCTTATCTTCACGCCCAATGGGCCTTTTCAAACTCGCTCTCGGTACGCCGAAGGTCCATTTTGTGCAACGAATCGCAAGTTTCGAACCTGCCCCAGCGTAAGCGTCTCGTTGCGACATACCACACTCATTTCGGGACCCACGAAGGGCAGCTGAAGCGGCGGGCAACGACCACGAGATCTTTTCTTTCCTGCTTCTTTTTGCCTTTTGGGTATCTGTGCGTTCATTGAGTTGTTTCGTACGTACAGAACTGCCGTATGAAGAAAACTGTTAAAATGAACCGGTTGAATGCCCTCTATGTGCAGCCGTATCTACCATTCAACGTTACTTCTTGCCCCCTGTTTACCGTGATGCACGAACCCATGTTGGTAGGATGGCTTTGATTGCAAGGTTACTATGCCACTGTCACCCATTCGGGCTCGAACGTCGCGCTCAGTGAGACTTTGCTTTCTCTTATGTCCTATGCTAGCCCGCATGAATTTGTTTCCTTGATGAAGAATTCCTGCCAATACTGGGGTGTTGCGTACAAAATTCAAACAGGACAAACTTCACATTTGTCCTGCGCGTAAAGCGGCTTACATTAATTGCATTTATTATTGTTGTTGTTGCTAATCGTTATTCTATTCTTGTTTCTGCTATGACGTCTGCTAATACCTGCCCCCTTTGTCTCACTTTCGGTCACAATGCTTTATGTGGCGTCCCTTCGAATGAGCAGTCCTTTCTTCCCTCAGCTACCCGAGCATCGGGATAGCGCCAACCTATCAAGCAGCTAGCAACTTCCGGTGGAAATTTTCGCTTGTTATCAAGGTGCATGCGAACTCCTTGAAAATACGAGGTGGCAAAAATGCCTTCAGAGACGTAGCTTGCTTTTCATCGCCACTGGGCATTACTACCGCCGCCATCATCGTCGAAACTGTCCCTTTGTTTCGCTACCCGTGTAAACTAACAAGTTAATGAGTCAAAGCAAAATTATTGGAAAAGCGCGCGTTTCTAACAAGTGACAGGGGCCTATCAGATACGCAAGCAGAAACAATTGGCCGAGCTTTGAACCGTGGAAAGGCTACGAATCTGTAGAAAAAAACGCGAGGATTCGATGGGGAGAAAAACCAAAAAGCTGGCCGCCCCTACAGAAGAAAAGAAAGATGACAGCAGGATACGAAGGTGTTTTTGGGGCGAAGGGGTAGTCGAAAAAGGTTAGCCGAACGTTGATAGTGGTAGTGTAATTTTTCGTTGAAACCATCAAATGATTGGTAACCGTATAATTGCATGGACAACTGGCAATATTGGCATTTAACGTGCATAGCTGGGGGCTCAGGTACCTGACAAGCAGATAAATAATTGCGATCGTTTTCGTTTGATCGATTCCGTGAGACATTATATAATGACTTATTACAGCAGTCTGATAGGATGGCCACATACATGATATACCTCATCCACTCCATAAAGGAAAAAGAGTAGGTATACAAAACTAATCGTTGAATTTTTACAAAATGTGAGGATCAATGTTGTGTTGTTCAACGAAGATACATATTGACTGACGACATATAGCACGTTCTTAAGTCGACCATTTGGAACAAAGTAACTTATAAGTTCTTGTCTATTTTTAGATTGTTTAATTTTCTAATAGCATACTATGCTGAAGTGCATTATGCTAGACTCTGAGCATAGCAAATCTTTAACACTATATGTCACACATACATATACTTATACAAATTCGCGGCCGAGAACGGCGCGCATCTTATTGTATTTCGAGTCCTTGTAAGAAGGTACCTCTCCGCGGTGTTCATGATATTATTAATAGTTTCAGAACAAATCCTGTTACATATTCCTCTCTACGTTACTCCTTCTTAAATGTTATTCATGGCAACTTTGCCATTAAGCCCCCGCTAGACATATATTTGCCAGAGCACCGCTATCGACAATAGTCGGGAAACACACACACCATACAGTTCTGAGATAAGAAAGCACCCGCCTCCAAGGCGCCTGACTGCACGCTTGAACATGCTTAGGCTCAAGCCGGCCCTGTCCCAGCGCGGTGTCAGCCCTGGTGGCGGATGCAGACATTACGCCCAGACGTTGCAATCGCTCGCTGTTCGCTTTCTACGGCGTGTGCGGCAGCGGAAGCAGGCTGCACTTGTAAGTCAGGAGGGCCTTTACGCCGACCGTGGTCCCTCCCACTGGGGCCCGAGGTGCCTGTCCCTCGTAAAGTGGCGCCTGCGCAGCGCGCACTCGGGGCGGGGCCACTAAGGGCCCTCCACCCTGCGGCTGGGCGCACTTAGGGACCCCTACAACCGGGAACACAGTGGCCAACTGGAGACTGACTTCGAAGGAGAACCCACGAGAACGGGCGGCCCGACCAGGCTCGTCTGTTGCACTTCGCGCTAACCAAAGCAAAGCAAGTTAGCGAGTGACAACCGTCTGCCTACCTATCGTGCTCCTGAGTGCAGACCCCGTAACAGACTATTGTGGTACTGACAACACTGTGATGATAACAGTATTAATGATAACGCCGTGACTGTTGAGACAAGGCACCCCACATTTTTGGGGTGCAGGAAATCAGATAAGTAGCTCCACTATTACCCGCCTAGTAACTAGAAACAGCGATACGTGTCGATAAATCGGGCAGTGAATTAAATAGCGACAAGCGGATACAATTGAAAACATCTGTCGTTTTTTTTTGTGGGGTATTTTGAGAAGTCGTGAATTTAAGTGATTGTGGTTGCTATGCTATAGTGACTGAGTCTCATGCTAGCCTCCGAGCTTTGTGTGCGAACCCCTGCGTTGTTTGGGTGTATTTTACGGGTGTATGGTATGATAAAAAATTAAGTATATCGTGTGGAGTGTTAGTATCCGTATAGTAAAAGAAAAAAAAAAAACTATTATAGTGCATGGAACAGTATCGATCAAGCGTACATAAATGACGACTTAGAACGCGTGGTGCGCCCCCTATATGTAAAGATATCCTATAACGTCATTAAGGTATCTTTTTTGAAACAATTCACTGAATTTCCCGAAGACCATATGCATATGTATCCGGAGGTTGTAACAAATCACTAAATGTGTATTTACTCTGTTGACTGAAGGAGCAATTTCGTAACGCTGCTATCCGTTAAACGGAATCGGGTTGTGAAATCAAATAGGTGTCACGGAAAGTGCTGATGCATAAGTGAATATTAGTAGTAATCCAAGTTATACGAAACTACTGGATGCATAGCTGACAGGGCATCAGTTCTGTCAAAACATTTGCAGAACAAGCTCTAGCTCAACGATAAGCATCGTACTGCAATAGGATCAACAAGTCTGAAAAGAGGAAGCAAAAATCAAGCAGCTATGCGCAGTGGAGCTACACCCCCTTCTCGTAGCAGCGGCAGTGGAGCTTCAGTGCGTCCCTACGGTCGTGGCGGGCTGGGACCCGACACCCATGGAGGACACGGTTTATATGAACCTGTGCCCGGCTCACAAGCGCCTCAACAGGCCAATGGCAATGGACCATCGTCGCAAGGTAGGCCCATAGCTAAAGCTAAGGAAAAATTTGTTTACTGAAAGGTTTTATCAGCAAACGTATATTCAGAAAATACACAATTAAGACAATGAAGTTCAACTTATCCTATTGGTCAATCGAAGCTCAAACCGATGACTTTCACTCGAAAGTTACTGAACTTACTCTTGTTTATTGAAAAGAGTCACCTATGTTTTAACTGAAAATTGATGTCATCATGCATTACTGAGGGTAGACTTGGGACAAACATGCACACATTCGTACGCTTGTCGTCCTATCACTATATATATACATATATATATATATATATATATCCTTTCATTAAAAAAAAAAAAATATATATATGTATATATTGCGTTATAGATAAAATTTATTTTATTTAAAAAAAATTATCAACACTTGGCAATCGAAAATCAAAACAACCGATACTTTACAAGTTACTGTTTTTCTTTAACCGAACGTAGATGACGAAATGTGAGATGGCAAAGTGATAAAATCTAAATATGTATAGTTGTAAAAAGATTTGCAGCCGGTTAAATCGGCTGGTTGTATTAGATCAAATGTTCCTATCAAGGTTGTAAGCTTTTCTTTAATAATAAAGTTAAAAAACATTATTTATGTTGGGCCTAGGGTTTAACTGCCATATCGCAAGCTCTGTGGTATCCCTATGAAAAAATGTCCATACTTTGTGGCGTATCGTAAACAATGTGTTTTCTGCTTTGCCCTTTCGATGTGATGAAACGTTTGCCCTATACATTTTTTTTACGATGACTTGTTTTTCTTGACACGGTAATGTGCTATCCATTAACTAGCTAATTCCATCCATAAGAAACTGATTACCAGCATCAGTCCGTATCGAGGACTAATGTAAGCAGAACAAGCGAATGGATGCGCTCGGTTGATTCTTCTTTGATGCATATGTGTATGTGTCTGTGTGTATTCAGGTCTGTTGTCATTTGCTTGCCATTAAAAGGGCATTGGCTTATGGACGGCAGGGGCGTGCTTCTCTCTTCGTGGAGAACTTCGAAGCCAGAGTCGCTACAAAGGTATCGAGCATTCTGTTGTTCCCTAGCTTAGAGCTCAATGTTGCAGTTACCACCACCTCGATATGGAAAATACGGGGACGGGCTATTCCTCCAATGCAAATAGTCAATGTGAATCCTGCTTCGTATCGGGGGCAAGGGCGACTGAGCTGTGCCTAGTGCTATGAGCCATACAGTGCAGGACAAAGACGTTAGAAAGTGTTGATGTTTTTGTACACGAAGCGTGGTGTTTTTTTTGGCTGGATGCACCAAGGGATGGGGGATGGAAACGCGGGGGCCTAGAAAGAGTGGGGCAGAATAGGTTCATGTCTCCTTGTAGCTGTTGGTCCTGCTACATATACGACGCGCACAAACGAATGGGAGTTTTATATATACACGTCTATTCAGGGGCCCGAACAACATCTATTTATTCGCATTAGGAAAGAAGGAAAGGGCTGTGTGTATCTGAATGTCAGAATGCAAAGCTTGTGGATAGCGGCTGCCGACGCTATGGGGTGTGAGAAGACCGCCAAACCCCATTCCCTTGGGGGTTTCTAACAAGGGTTGTGTACAGGAAACCGAAGAAGAATAAGAAGGAGGAATCGAAGATGAACGACATTGACGATGTCAGTGAACAGTTCAAACAACACGTCGTTCTGTACTATATATACTTGAGAAATGAAAGTTCGCATAGTTTAGAGGAGTAGTAGAAAACGGGCAATGGTTGATGGCATAGGACTTTTTCAGGACTCTACCGAGTTACTTACATACCTATGTTTACAATGCGCACAGACAACATAACACATGCAAAGAGCACCTACGCTATGCTTGAACGCGGTTTTGAGCCTGATCTTCTTTGAAGGACTGCTAAGCACAACCGTGCACTCCAAACTGATCTCAGAGGATGATAAGTACGATGCAAATGTCAAGTACGGCACTCAGTTTAAGTTAGATTTGTTGAGAGGGTCTCACCTTTCTGAACCTCAGGTATCACAGCACGACTTGATGAGCAAATTGTACCATTTCGAAATCGGCTTTTTTTTTTCAGAACTTGATCATTAACACGTGCTATGCTATCGACTTCGTTTATACTAGTCTTAATAACAACTACCTTCCCATAACTTTGACCCCTTTTGAAGTTTCTGTACTTCACCTCAGTTTAAACATTTGTCTCATGTACACGCTAACGGAAAAAGAGTCTACTTTTCCCTTTCGGATGGGGTCATCTCCATCATCATCTCGTTTCTCCTCTAGTCTACCTCGTTTCGTTTTTTTCTCTTCCTCATCCATGCCATCTCTGCTTTGTCAACGAGCTCAGCATTATTTAGGCCCTTCGGTTCCAGTCGTTGGCGGCTGTTGCTGCTTCAGAGCCAATCAGTTTGCCTCTGGGGTCAGTCTCGTTGAAAGCAGCTAGGCGAAGTGTCCCTTCCGAGCCCCTCAAATAGTCTCCCAACAAACCGTCGTTTCAAACTACTCGCGGTCCATCCCGCACCTCTCGGTCTGTTCTCCTACCTCTTCGGCGTTCCTTTTCTCGTCTCCCCCCCTCTGAAACCCTTGCGTAGCTCGTTGGCGAGCTACGCGGGCAAGGAGCAGACACGGCCCTTTCCAATGGGAGCGCACTGAAGTCCGAGTAGATGATGTGGTCGTTGTTGTTGAACGGCTACTGCTGTCCGCCGCAGGAAATCAAGAGTCGAAGCGGACAACGAAAAGACCAGTCACCGGTGATGGCGGTGGGGGCGGTCTGGGAAATCTTAAAAATGTTGTCAAAAAAGTAAACATGCAATCAAGGTTCCCCGGGGAGACGGTTGCGCGTCTGGACGCCGGCGTAGCTTCGCCGACGACCCGCTGCTTTGCTGCTTCTGGCTCTGCAGGGACTACCGCTGCTTGAGCATGCGACCGGTAACCAACTAAGAGGGCGGACCGGTCAGTGATGACAAGCGAAACGAACGTTTCGGTTTTGAGTGGACGAGTATAAGATGTTGCCGCCCACAATTGTTGTTGCTGATCGTGGCTATGAACAAGGCACGGCCAGATGGACATTTCAGGTTCTCGAACGTCGTCTAACTACATGTTGGTTAAAGTCATATTAGGGGGCTTATTAAGTTTTACCCCTTGGAAAGATTTGTTACGATGCAGTGTATACTGAACTAACATTGTGCAGAACCGTCTATCTATAAAAGTTTCAACTTGATTATCAATCGTTCCAATGAACCGAACTAGAAGTAATTTTTAGTAGACATTAGAACTTAAAAAATAGTGTGATTTCTTATATATTGCTGGTTAGAAAGCAAAGCAGATTAGTCTTCTTATACTGCGTAACACATAAGCTTTTGAGGTAGGTGCGGCTGGCAGATTTTCTGTGTTGTGTCCTTGAAGGCGTAATTTCGCACCATCACTGTGTTAGGTGGCGTCCTTTTAACAACGAGCATTTAAAAGTGGGCCTTGCTGCTAGGCTGTCGGTACTGGATAGAAATAATCACCCCACTGAAGTGCTCGTTCCACTTTTCGCCGATGCATTCGCGTCTCAAGGGGCCTTATAAGGGGAGGACACTCAATACTCTGCGGCTTGCAACGGGTAGGAGGCAAGCAGAACGGATAAAGACGCACATGCTATTTAATGAAAACATTGCATTAAGACTTAGGACATGTTCGGCTAGACGTTGAAAGTTGCAGAAGTTTTTTCACATCTGAGGTTGGGTCAAGAGAAGAAGGGATAAATGGAGACTCAGGAAATAGGGGCATTTCGAGCAGCCCTTAACGACGTAGCGGGAACGTGATGATAGGCTAGCCACCGCATATTCCCCAGCTACAACAAAAGGACAACAGTGTTAGAGATTAAAGGATAAAATAAAAATCTATTTTCTCTTTTTATAGGTGTTGCAGGTAACTAGCATGAGCCGTAAAGTTGATATTCAGCAACTTGATGGCAGACATTAATTGAAAAATAAACTTATTCCATTTTACAAAGTCTAACGACCGTAACGCTGTCGAGCCCGGCAGTTAGCGTGGTAATGTAAGGTGGGCAAGCTAATGGGCAACCTATAATGACTAGCGCAACAGCTATTTTGGATCATAATTGATATTTTTTTATTACTGGTCTGCTAGATCTGGGTTAGACGTTCTTTTTTTTTGTGTTGTTTGATATTTTAACATTTCGAGACTATGTTGCGCCAGGACGCAGTATACTTGTTCGAGGAATAAAAGCCATAACACCATTCACTAATTACCAGCTTGAATTGTAATCAAAACGACGTAATAGGACGCATACTAACGATACGTCAGTGGCCGATTCTGTGTGCATTATTTATTTAGTATCCGGTTGTCTCTATTATATGAGGATCAGTTTTGCGATGCCGACGACTCACTCTAATGTCGTCGTGTTCGCCCGTCCAGCGAGAGAGATGTAGTTCGTCATGTTGGCAGACTCGGCGGTTGGGATATACACTGCCATATACACAAACATAAACTATAATCGTTGCATATGAATGTACGCGGAACCGCCGGTCGATTGAAGCGTCCACAGTACCGTCAGCCAATGTGTTGTCTAATGGAAACTTATAGCGGGTCATAAAACAACTTGGTGATCGTAACGACCACGCTGAGCTTGAGTTAGCAGGAGTCTGAGTGAGGCTCAACTGCGAAAGCAAACGAGTGACGCCCTCAGCTATCCACCGAAGCGATGGCCAGAAACGTGCCGATGAATACCAATTGAGTCGATAGTGCCCAGTCTACGATTCGAGCTAACAGTACAGAACCGTGTTATTATTGCTGTTTGTGCGTCTACTCTCGCTGTTATTATTACTACGATTATTTTTATTGCTAAGCGGTGTAATCGCTCACGTTTTAGATTGTTCGATTACATAGTACTCCTTTGCTTTTCATCCTGTTGCTGATGCTCTCATAGCTGCTGTAGAATAGTTACTTGTTGAATAAATCCGCTATATATATAGTAGCAGATGCTTAGTTGTGAAAGCCAAACAA